ACTGGACGGCGGGGCCGTGGGGTGGACGCAGGGCTCGGGCCTGCCCCCTGAGCTACAGGAGCCCTCGGGGAGCCCCCTCCCTTGACATTGCAGGGCCAGCGCAAGTTCCTGATTTTATCGCAGGGCCTGCCGCTGGGAGATAGTCCCCTTGGGGTGACATCACCGCCCCAGCCCGTTTGCATAAATCTCTTGCGCTACAGGAAGTCTCTGGCCGGCTGGGGCAGGTGGCGCTCGAGGGGCTGGCCTGGGAAGCCATGGGGGCCAGGCCCCCTGCCCAGAGGAAGCTGGGGCCAGAGGGGACAGGCCAACTTGGTCTCCGGGAGGCCTACGCCGTGCTTGGGCCTACCAAAGCTTCCAAAGCCCAGCTACACCCATGCGGTCAACAGTCACCATTAGGGTCAGAATGGTGGCCTCTGGGGGCCTTTATGCTCTCTCTCTCTCTTTTGGGCGGTACTGGGGTTGAACCCAAGGTCTTCACACTGAGATACACCCCCGCCCCCCACTTTTTTCTTTTTTTGGAGCCTGTAGTCCAGGCTGGCTTTGAACTCACTATGTAGATCAGGCTGGTCTTGAACTTGCGTCAATCCTCCTGCCTCAGCCTCCTGAGTGGTGGAATGACAGGCCTATGCTACTAAGCCCTGCCTTCCAGCTCTATTTTAGATTGCGTATTTTGAATCAGGGTCTCAATAAGTCACTAAATTGCCCCAGGTTGGGTTTAACTTGCAATCCGAATGCACTATGTGGACCTCAACACCATGTTCTGATGTTTTCGTGTCCCCACAGGGTCCAGGTCCTGCCTCAGCCTCCCATGGTGCTGGGATGACAGGTGTGAGCGTCTAACCCTTGGCACTTTTGGGGGTGAGCCTGGCAGGCTGAAGGCTGTGATCCCAAGGCTGCTGGTCTTGGCTCTTCCTCTGGGCCCTGTACCCCAGCGCAAGCTTCCGCCTCGGCTGTGGCTAGGCTCAAGGTAGGCTGTTCCTGTGGGCTCCCCTGCACCAGGGAGGGTCCCCCTCGTCACTGACCTCTCCCGGCCTCCCCAGTACCATAGCTGCTCCCAGATCTCAGCCCCAGCATCTGTTTCTCCAACTCTCAGCAGTGCTTGAATTATCTGTGCGGTATTCCGAGTTTACACACTTGTGTGCGTGCAGTCACCTGACTTCTATCCATCTATGGGAAGCTTCCACGTTTTTCTGTCTAGCTGCCCGTTCATCTGTCCACCCACCAACCCGGCCAGACATCCATTTATCTGTCTCTTGATGCAACTGTCCATTTATCTGCAGCCAATTGGTCCTCTTATCCACCTCTTTATCTACTTGTTGATCTAGCCGTGTGTGCGTGCATGTGTCAGCCCTGCATCTGCTATCAGCCCATCAGTCAGTCCCCTGTCCATCAGTTTATCTACTGTATATCCATCCATCCATCTGCTCACCCACGGTTCATCCACCTGTAGGTCTGTCCATCCACTCACTCATCCATCCCTCCATCCACGTCCACGCATCCCTGTACCCCCAATATTGAGTTTCAGGCTGTGTGGGTGCCGAGAAGCAGGGCAGGAGCTCTTGGGAGGGTGGAAGGATGTAGAAACTTTTCTGATTGATCTCAGGTGAGTCCGCTCTGCTGGGGAAGTACTTCTTGTGCCTCTGTTTCCTCTAGAACCCCTGCTTCACATTGCACACTTCCTCCCCATGGGGACTGGCCACCTACTTCCTGCCCATGGACTCCCAGCTCCTGAAGTTTTTCCTCACTGAGGCAGGGGCTGGAGATGTAGCTCAGTGTGGAGGGCCTGGGTTCAGCGACCAGTGGCGGGGGGGAGAAAGGGAGGGAAGCAGACAGACAGACATGGAACTCACAACCTGGGCTCCAAACGCACTACGTGGACCTCACCGCTATGTTCTGATGTTTTTGTGTCCCCACAGGGTCCAGGTCAAGGGTCCTCAGGCTCCTAGGAACCTGAACAAGGGCCTCCTGGGAGGAGGGGGTAAGGGCTGGCCCCTCCCTGGCCAAGGCCAGCTCAGGTGACAGAACATGGGGACAGGGCCGTCCACCCCGGGACCAAGGTCCTGCTCTAGCACTCACTTCTGGGCAGTGACCGTTTCGGTCTGTTCGTCTGTGTTCTGTGTTGTCCGCCCCTCCGTTCCTCTCTTCATGCAGTCTTTGTGTTAGTGTCTCTCGCACGCCAGGCTGTGAGGGGCACAGCTGTGCCTGGGCTGCCTGCGGCCTCCAGAAGATCCAAGCTGGCCTGGGTAGGAGCCCATAAGAGTTCCAGAGGTCACCAGGCTCGTAGGCCTGAAATCCCAGCTACTCCCAGAAGGCTGAGGCAGAAGGATCAAAATCTTGAGGCCAGCCTGGGAAACTTATCCAGATCCTTCTCAAAATAAACTTTTTTAAAAATCATTGAGTTTATTGGTACTTTTTAGGTAAAAAAAAATTTTTTTTTGTGGTCCTCACTATGTAGTGCCCTGGAACTCACTGTGTAGCCCAGGCTGGTCTCGAACTTATAGAGATCCTCCTGCCTCAGCCTCCTGAGTGCTGGGATGACAGGTGTGCGCCACCACACCTGGCCAAAATAAACTTTTAAAAGGGCTAGGATGAGCCAAGCAAGGTGGCGTATGCCTGTAATCACAGTGCCTGGGAGGCTGAGGCAGGAGGGTCGCCACAAGTTTGAGACCAGCCTGGGCTACACAGTGAGACCCTGAATCAAAAACCACACAGGAGAGCAAGAGAAGGGAGAAACCCAGGTGAGGAAGGAGAGACCAGAGCGAGGGAGCAGGGAAGGGCAACGGACGAGGGACAGAAGGGAGGTGACACAAGGCACAGCTGGCTGCCAGAAGGCAGTGGGACCTTCAAGAAGGAAGTGCTCCCCAGCCTCCTTCCTCCACCTCGGAGTAAGGGGTCAGCATGGCTCCCTGACTGGCTCGAGGTCCTGGATACATCCGGCCAGGATGCGGCTTCCTTCTCATCAGCAGGAAATTGGTTTGAAAACCAACATCTTGGGGTCTCCAGGAAATGAGAAGAAATCAAACTTTTAATTAGTTTATTTTAGGAATAGATAACACAGGCACATTGTTCGAAATCCAGAAGGTAGAAAAGGGTGACAACTGCCCCGTTCCTCTTCCACGGCCCCCCCACCTTGCTACCTGATCTTCATGTCCTCCGGGAAACAGTCGAGGCAAACGGGAGCCTGCAGACACAGAGACAGTCTTTTAAAATTCGTTTCATTTTATTTTGTGAGCCGGGATCTCCCTGTGACACCAGGCTGGCCTCAAACTCATGACAATCCTCCTGCCTCAGCCTCCTGAGTGCTGGGATGACAGATATGCACCGCCGTGCCTGGATACTGTTGTCCATTTTAATGACTGTATAGTAGTCCACCTTTTGGACATACAGACCGCTCCTGATTTGTGATGATTCCACTTAGGATTTTTTTTTTCTTTATGATCATGTGAAAGGGATCCATAGAAACTTCTACCGAAACAATTCACATTTTCAATCTTGATCTTTTCCCAGGCTGGCAGTATGTGATCTGAGACTCCGTCTGGGCCCCTGTTCACTGATATTCTACAGTGCTATGGGTTGCTAAGCTATGTGCTGCAGGTTACATGCATTAGAAGTATTTCCAACTTACGATCGGTTTACCAGGATATGAACCTTTTATAAGATGAGAGTCCTATGCACTATGATTTGTTGTTTGTTTGTTTTCTGGTACCGGGGATCGAACTCAGGACCTTGCACCTGCCAGGCAGGTGTAGTGCCACTGAGCTAAATCCCTGACCCTGGTTTGTTTTTTTTTTTGTGGTAGGATCTCAAGATGTTTCCCAGGCTTTCCCAAGCTCGTAGGCTCAAGCAATCCTCCTGTCTCAGCACCCTGAGTAGCTGGGACTACAAGTGCGAACCGCCATGCCCAACTGCGAGGCTTTTCAAAAAATGCATAGTTAAAGAATATAAAGTGAACACCTATGTAGCCATCCTCCAGACCAAGAAATTAAACATCAAGACTTGGGAGGCAGCTCAGTGGTATGACCCTTGCCTAGTGTGTGGGAGACCCTGGACTGGGACCCCAGCACCAAAAAGGAAGGAAGGAAGCTAGAGGGTTCCTTGCACACCAGGCCAGGGCTCCCAGTGAGCTGTACCCCTCCCCCGTTTTTGAGGCAGGGTCTCACTATGTAGCCCAGTCTGGCCTCGAACTCAGGGTGATCCTCCTGCCTCAGCCTCCTGCGCACTGAGATGACTGGTGTGCACCACCATGCCTGGCTCCTTGCTTTGTTTAGATGCATCTCTAACCATACAGTTTAGCCTTTCCTTCTTTTTGTTGTACTGGAGATCGCACCCCGGGCCTCAGACACATGGAACAAGGGCTCCTCTGCCCAGCTGTGTCCTAGCTCTCTGCTGGTCTTCATCCTAACCAGAGGAGGAGAACGGTGGTGTCAGCACCCCCACGGCTCCTGCTTCTCTCTGTCCCCCTGCCCTACAGATGCAAGAGGCCCTGCTGCGAGGCGTCTGGGTGCTTCCAGGCTTCAGGAGACAAACCGGGTGGAGTCACCGAGACGTGGCCATCTGCACACAGGCAGGCGACCGTGCAGAGTGGAGCCTCTCAGCTCCGGAACACAGGAGGGCCGGCCGCTAGCAGGGGACGGGCAGACTCGCCGTGCCTGCCCACCCTCTTTGGGACAGTGCCGCTTCCCCACTCTGCGGCGGGGATGGGGACCCTGGAGTGGGTGGCCCTGTGTCCCATGGGCTGACAGGGGGCCAGCGCCAGGCACACGGGATGCGGCTGCTGTCCCCGGGCTGGGCCCTCGGAGGAGACCGCGACCCCGCACCG